ATATATATGTATATATATACATACATACATACAGGCTGTGGTTAACAATAAATCCAGGAATTACTTAATTAATAGGTCTGTGGTTAGGTGTACAGAAATGCCAGGTCAGATATAAATAAAAACATAAAAATACAAAATAAAAAGACATATCTACTGTAGGCTGTGAGAAAAAAATACAGTCAAATACGGTGATACCTGTATAATTGTTGAAAATACTGTGATATAAAATCTGGCTCATTCCGCCCATATTCACCTCTTAGATCACAGGATCATCTCTTGGCCTGGAGCCTTTCTAGCTGCAGTTTGCATGTTCTTACTGTGCACACGTGGGTTTTCTCTGGGTACTCGTTAGGTTAATTGGTAACTAATTGTCCCTAGGTGGGAGTGAGAATGAGAATGGTTGTCTCTATGAGTCTCTGTGTTGGACTGGAGACCTGACTGGGGTGAACCCAGCCTCTCACACAGACTAATGGAGACAGACACCAGCTCACCACAACTGGGAAAGGAGAAATGGGTAAAGAAAACATAAGGAAAACTAAAAATACATTTCAGATATTTTCTTTTCCAGTAGTTGACTCTTAATGATTCATGTAGTTCTTACTCAAGAAAGGATTTATTATTAGGGATGGGTACAAGAAAGGATTTATTATTAGGGATGGGTACCGAATTCGATACTTTTTGATGTAAAGACCGAATTCTGTTGGTACTACCGAGTATCTATTCACAGAACATCAAATGGTACCATGTTTCGGTACCTAAATGCATCATTGCGACCAGTTTGGCATTAGAGTGGTGAGTTTTCCATGCTTGTCCTGAACGCAGCATCACGCAAAAGCGTAATGACGTCAGCAGCCGCTCGTTCAGTAAACAGAGAGAGGCAGAGCTCGGTCTGAACGTAGCTCGAAAGCCTCGCATCTCCTGAAGTGAAACTCGCCGAACAGACCGCCTCTGAATTATCTGGTGGATTAATTATCTTGTGAGCATGACGTTCGCTTGCTCAAAGTAAATAAAGTACCGTCACTTTCTTTATTTCATCCGCCATTAAACAGAGACAGACAGAAGAAAACAACAGAGGCGCTTCCCGACAGTCCGAACGCGTCTGACCTGAAAGAGCACAAGCAGCCAACTTGAAGTGTTGTAGCATTTTGGATGCTCAAAACGTAGCTTAAATACCTTTTATTTATTTTAACTCAATCCTCTTTTGCTTATTTGATTTAAACTTATTTGCCTTCCATGGGCCTCCATCACACAATTTTTCTAGTGGGGAAATGACATCAATAGAAATGCATGGAGCTGGATTTTAATTTGTGCAATAAAACAAAACAGTCTTGTTGTTTTCAAGAGTTTACACTTTAAAGAAAAAAGTTATACAACTGACGTTACAATACAAAGAGATGGATGTTGTCTTGATATTTGTTAATTTTATATATTGAGAAATATGTTAAATAAAAAAATAAAAGTTTATTATTGAAAAAACAACACAAAGTACCGAAAATTGGTACCGTTAAGTACCGGTACCGGATATTGGTACCGAATCGATTCAAACATCAAAAGGTACCAATCCCTATTTATTAATAATGGCAAAGGAAGCTGTTTGAGGTGGAACCATGAATTCAACACAGTGCGTACCTTCTCCTCTATGATGGCAATGATGTCTCCCACTGTCTCCAGGTCCAACTCGTCCCCTATGTACGACACAGCAACAAGGTCGTCTTCTACTAACCCCACCTCCTCACCCAGCTCTGCCTTCACTGCAGCTTCTGCCTCACCTGATGCACGTACATGTGGAAAGAAGAAACACACAGAAAGTGAGACAATTCAGAGACTGATCTATCTGTAGGGCAGCCTGGGATTAAACAGAGGCTAAACAAAAACCGGTCAGAGCTCTACCTAAAAAAACAATGATTATCTGGAAAAAAAAGAACCATAAAGAGATCATCTGTGGCACTGGGTCTGGAGCTTCATGCTGCTGCCTTGAGGAGTGAGAATGATCAAAAGAAAGTTGAGATGAACCCAGAACCACACAGTGAGATTGTCCCCAAAAACATCTGAAGTAAGAAAAAAGAAAAAAATTGTATAGGTCTTCTGGACGAGTTCTTCTCTAATGAAACGTTTCGTCTCTTCTCCAAGAGACTTCTTCAGTCTGAGAGTTTCAGGCAAAATTCAGGCTTTTAAGCCCTGCCTCCATGTGACTGATACTCACATCACATGGCGTTGACACCTAATTAACACTATTGTTAACAGGGGGTGGAGTGATACTGCCAATGGCAGCGCTGTAG